GACATACTGCATACATGTCACATACAATCACAAGTACGAGAGTTGATCAGCTGTTAATATACAACCGCACTTCTGGTATATATACTGAAACGTGAACATGAAGAGTATCGGTTTCAATTCAATGCCTGCTTTCTCCAAATTCATCGAAGGACAGAGAGGATCTCAACAGCTGGTGGACACGGACGGGTTCATGTACTCCAGAAAGAAGGCTAAAGATACAGCCATTTACTCTGCTTGGCGATGCCGGAAGCACAACCCTCCTACCAAGTGTCCCAATCATGCCTACCTCAACCTGTCAGATAACTCTATCCCTTGGCTCCAAACTCCACAACCACCCTGCTGACAACGCTGCTCCACAGAAGCGTGAAGTCCTCTCCTTACTGAAGCAGAAAGCTGCTAAACAGCCCATATCGATCGACTGGGCGTTGGAAAAACTCCTTCTAACAAAAGGATTGAAAGGAAAACTTCCAATGACCAGTTGTTCCATATCTGTTCCGAATACTCGGATTGCTCTAGCTAGGGGGTGCACGATAAAAATAAACTTGCTCGGATTTTCAAAATGTTTGTACCATTAATATTCTGAAAATTGGTGAAGACCTTCCAATAGGGCTTTCACAACTGTCCGAAAAATTTGGTGGATATCGGAGTTGATATAGTGATAAAAATGGGGAAAAATGAGGAAAAATACGCTGCTTTTAGCTGTAACATAATGTCTGATGGTTGGATATGCTTTAAATTTTTCGGACACTTTCCTTGTAAGTCTATGAGTAAGTTAACTAATTTTTGTTAAAATTGGATCAAGGGAAGGTTACTCAATACGCATTTGTTTCAAGAATTTTGTGCTGGCCAAAATTAGCGCTAAAAAACCATCCTACAGTCGGCACGCGCAGCTCACTGTTGATGGCGCACTACCTACTCTAGCTAGGTTGACTATCTGTTTGAGATTGCCAAATACTTTAACCATGAGATTGATATTGAGTAATGTATTCTGTATGTAATTATTATGTTGAGTTTGAACTATCATTATCTTGAAAAAAATCTTTGTCTTAATTAGTGCAGAAATATATATTATACAGCACAGCTGTGAAATCAGTGGACACCTGAATGTTTAAAGTATCTCCAGAGGTCCCTAGTTGTCCGGGATATGTTATGATTGGTTCCTAGTTGTCGGAGCTGATTGGATTTCTCAAGCTTGCATGTTAATTAGTTAACTAGGTGAAATTGACAGGTTCATAGTTGTCCGTCAGCCTGTGTTTCACAGTTTAGGATGAGATTTCCTGGTCCAGATTAACTACAAAATAACTTTAATTCGATGAGTGTCAATGAAAAAGAACACAATTTCTCAAGATAAAATCCACATATTATTATGAAGTATTTGATTTTACATATTGTTACTTGTACAGAATAGGATTGAGGGTCGGTAGATAACAGATAAAATTAATATATTCGGTAAATAACAACATAACAGCAGAAACAACAGAAAATCTAATAATGTTAGAAATTTAGTAATCTGTAAATAAAAGCTGTAAAAAAAAGCTGTAAAATGTAAAATGTGCCTATATTGAGGATCAGAAGATGATTCGTACTATTAAGATCAGAGCCACTATTACGTATCAATACACCAATGCAAGGGTTGCTGCCTCCAAACAACCTAAATTTCGTACTTGCAATATTTTTCGATTAACAACTTGCTTATACAGGGTGTCCCAAAAAACACTACCCAATAAGAAATTTTCTCAGTTTGAACTCATTGGTTTTGATCTCTTAGTACGATTTTCTAGAAGGTTAGGAGACTCTTTTAGGACCATTGGGAGTCTCATATGAACTTGATGGGCAACATTCTTTCGATGTTAAAGATATGCTAAGAAATCTTGGTGTGATCCTAGAATGGTTGATAGTTTTCGTCCATGATGGAATCCTAGTTTTGAAACGTTTAGACTGCCCCAAGTTGTAAACCAGGCATATACAGCTATACAGACACAATGGAAAGTATTCTTCACAATGAGAACTGAAATGGAGGTTTTTGATATGGTCAGCATGTTTTGGGAGCATTTTCGGGCCACACCCTTTTTTTACCTTTTTTTTGTCAGTACACTTACCAACTAACATATGCGACCATTAAAACTAGGAAATTAGCGACTTTCCCATACAAAATTGCATAATTTATGCAAATTTGGCCTATCGTCCATTTTTGGGTTTCAGGCCAGCTGGGAAATGACCATTTGTGAGCACCTCTTTGGACTTTTAGCATTAACTGTGGTGTTCGGGAGTTAGATGGGACAAAAATGAAAAGTTTGCAATCAAATCCATGACAAAAGTTTTTTTCCTTTTGGCTCAGCGCTCCGAATGGTGGACGAGCCAATAATTTGAGGACTTTTCCGGACAATTTTTGACATTTTTAAAATGAGGACTCCAAATAGTTTGCTTAAGTTTTCAAAAGTCACAAACAAATCTCCCAACCCTTTTAGGTAAACATACTAAGACATGAGTACCATTAAAGGAAAATTGAGGAAATTAGGAGGATTTCCCACTGGGTAGTGTTTTTTGGGACACCCTGTAGTAACCAAAACAGCACTTGAAATAACCAAAAGTGCTCCAATGATTTTCAAAAGATTGGGGACGCTGTCAAAAAATACAATCTGAATTCCATAGGCAATAACAATTTCACAGTTTAGGATGAGAATTCCCGGTCCAGATTAACTACAAAAATAACTTTAATTCGATGAGTGTCAATGAAAAAGAACACAATTTCTCAAGATAAAATCCACATATTATTATGAAGTATTTGATTTTACATATTGTTACTTGTACAGAATAGGATTGAGGGTCGGTAGATAACAGATAAAATTAATATATTCGGTAAATAACAACATAACAGCAGAAACAACAGAAAATCTAATAATGTTAGAAATTTAGTAATCTGTAAATAAAAGCTGTAAAAAAAAGCTGTAAAATGTAAAATGTGCCTATATTGAGGATCAGAAGATGATTCGTACTATTAAGATCAGAGCCACTATTACGTATCAATACACCAATGCAAGGGTTGCTGCCTCCAAACAAACTAAATTTCGTATTTGAAATATTTTTCGATTAACAACTTGTTTATAGTAACCAAAACAGCACTTGAAATAACCAAAAGTGCTCCAATAATACTTAAAAGATTGGGGACGCTGTCAAAAAATACAATCTGAATTCCATAGGCAATAACAATATCAAAGTTTCGGATGAGAATTCCTGGTCCAGATTTTTCGAGAGTCAGTCCTCGATTAAGAAGAAGAAGGCAGACAAATATACCAAATCCTCCCAAGCACATAATCAGCCTATCCATAAAACATTCAGGAAATACATATTTGTCACCACTTATTAACTGAAAGATAATTCCGTATACAACAACTGTGGGAGAAACAATAACTGACACAAAAATTGGGCTAACTACAGTTCCAACTTTTCTCATCAAGCTGTAGGCAAGCCCCAAAATAATTCCCCCAGAAAGAGGAACCAACGCAAAAATGGAACTATATTCTTTCCTATTTTTTTCACTCGGAGCTCCAAATAGAAAAGTAGGTTTAGCTATTAAAACAACTCCGGACAATCCAACTAACAATGCCAATATCGTAAATATACTCAATTTTTCTTTCCAAAGAACCCTAGAAAAAATAGCAGCAAAGATAGGAACCAATGCAAACAGGGATACACTATCACCATAATCCATCACTTTAGCTGCCCATAACTTCAAAATATCTGCAAGTCCACCTAACAATGCTCGAGGAATTATATATTTAGCTTTTCCTTCAAAGCCTTTGTTTTTTTCTTTAAAAAACAAGGCTGGGAGTAGGAACAAGAACGGAAAGGAAAAAATTGTGGACGAAAACTGGCCAACAGCCAAAGTGGTGCTATTTTTAACCAGTGAAAAAACACTGACACCGATAAATCCAGCTAGAAATATGAACAGTTTTCCTTCAATCTGTTTGTAGACCGATTTACATGTGAGTGGAAATATTTCCTTGATATCATCTCGATCTTGTTGGCTACCGTCCACCTCAAGTTGTTGAAATGGTAGGTTTGAGGATTTTATGAGCACCATTTCCTGTTCTTGAGACTCCGTCTGGACCGTCATCAGGATGAATGTATTTCCTACAATTAACAAGGATATTATCAAAAATTCAGATGCCCACCATCCGTTCGCATAACACGCTAAGTACATAATTAGATTGAATGTTGTTTATATGTTTGGTTTCTAAAATACATGTTTCGTGTTCATATTTAAAAACTATACAGACTCAAAGTTTAATGTACATAATATGAACTATACGAAGTGAATCGTTTAAAAAAAATTAAGTACTTTTCAAACTTTACAGACTACCTTATTGGACCTTATTTGGACGGACATTAATTGAACTCTGGAGGCCCTAACGTTCATCTTAATGTCGGTTCAAATATTGTCGGTTCATTTAAGGTCCGTCCAAGTTAAAGTCCGTTGAATTTTTTTCCAAAAAAATTCAACGGACAAAAACTTTTTTCCACTTCGAACTTTTTGTCCAGAAAATGACAACTATGAGAACTTTATTGTGCCGTAAGTTAACGACGGAAAGGTTCTCCTTGAACCTTGGTCTGCCGGAGGCACAGAAAACTCTACTAGTATATGATGTTTTCAAGGGTCATTTGGTGGAAAAAGTCAACGAAATTATGGCACTCAACAAGTTTATATGAGCTAGTCCTCGCCAACATGACAAACTTGTTCCAGCCTCTAGAGTCTAGATATTACGGTAAATAACTTGTTGACAGGGACATTGTCTGACGTTGTTATAGTTCATATTACTCAGGGGAGGTAATGAAACAGTGCAAGGAAAGCTCTGTGTGATGTTAAGGTTAACCTAAAGTTGTCTAAGATAAAACCACTCCACGCCGAATGGCTTGTAAAAGCTAACACTGAAATGCAGGACCGGGGTAGTTTGATAAAAAAGGTTTCCATAAAGCTATAAATCACTGATGCTTTAAGCATGGACTATTTCATGCACGAAAACCCATTTGATGAAGATCTGATATATGGTTTAGCTATTAAAACAACTCCGCTATCGCATTTGGTGGGTGTGTAAATAATTCCGATCATTTTGAGCCAATAAAAATATTTTAAATGTTTGCTAATTAGCTAAAACACGTCTACAGAACCTACACGCACTTCCATTTTAAATTATATTTTCTCGTACAAACGATCATCAAAAGTAAAAAATAAACTCTGTAATTCGCTTCCTAATATCACCCTGGCTAGTGACCTCGTACACATAACATTTCCTGGTCATCTAATTGTGTTGTGATTAGATTCCTCGACCTCGTACATCATAAGAGTAAGACCTCGTACTGATATATATTTCACTCTAACTGGCAGAAAGACCGGAGATATGTTCTAGCAAAACTTTAAGAAAATTTTAAGACTGTCGCCCATAGTTTATTCTCAGAATTGTAAAAGTTTCGCCCACTGAAATATCATTAATAACGTATCATTTCGACATATGACATAAAGCTGAGACAGAGCAGAGTGTTTGAACCTGGTAAATTTAGAGAAGTGGTCGGGTACGAGGCTCAGCTACAACTGAAAGAAGACTTCAAACCTGTGTTCCGGAAAGCAAGGACTGTTCCGTACGCTCTGAAGGAACGTATCGAGGAGACGATCGACAAGATGGTTGCAGACAAGATTCTGACTCCAGTTGATCACAGTCAGATCGCTTCACCGATTGTGCCAGTTCTAAAACCTGATTCCGCAGTTCGGATCTGCGGAGTACTCTGAACATAAACCTCGAGACTAAACAGTAGCCCCTTCCTACTGTTGACGAGTGTTTCCACCCGAGAGGAGGAAAGCAGTTTTCGAAACTAGACACCAGACAAGCTTATAATCATCTTGCATCGAGAGAGGCAGACAAAAAGCTGACCACGATAAACACGACGAAAGGTTTATTGGTATGGAATCGGTTGCCATACGGTGTGTCGTCTGCCACCGCCATCTTTCTGCAAACTATGGATAGTGTACTAAGAGGGTGCAAAAGTACCGTGTGTCGTGTAGGCGATATACTAGTGACAAACCGAAGAGGAACACCTGGATAATCAAGAGGAAGTTATAAAACGGCTAGAAGTTGCAAACTTCAGATGAAACTTGAAGAAAAGTGAGTTCCTGAAAGACGAAGTGAAATACCTGGGTTATTTGATCCCTTTGAAGTTATGGGAGAAAATGTGATTTTTTGGCTTTGCAGATAAAAAATCACATTTTCTCCCATAACTCGAAAGGGAAGCATTTTAGGGTGTTTTGTTGTTCATAACTCATATATAAATGTGCTAGTTGCGGTTATTTTGCGCTCTACTCTTCAAAAAGTCACTAGCACATTCCTATCAAAATTTTAGAAAAATCAGTAAATATGGAAAACGTAAAATGTGCCTAAATTTGTTGTTTGGCTTTGAAGTCCAATAGATCTGGAGATAAATGAGTAAAAACATTTTTTCGGTCCTCCTCCTCCCCAGTCCTCCTCATGGGGCCTTTTCCTGGGTCCTCCTCCTGGGTCCTTCTCCTCTTGGGTCTTCCTCCTCTTGAGTCCTTCTTCTTCTCCTCCTCCTATTCATTCCTCCTCCTCAGTTCTCCTTCTCAGTCTCACTCCTCCTCAGCCCCCCTCCTCTCCCTCCTCAGTCCCCCTCCTCAGTCCCCCCTCCTCCTTTTCCTCTCTTTCATCTCTCAATAATTTGTTCAATTTATAATTATTGTTGGTGTTATTGTTAACATAATTTATTGTTATATACTAAAATGTTTTTAAGCGCATTTGAGTCTGACTAAAAATGTGCTCAAGAATCTTTGTGTTTAACAAAGTTTTACTCTCCAGTAATAAAACTTTTCATCCCTTTTTATGTTATTAAAAAATGTGTAGACTATTCTTTGTGCCTAATTGAAAATTAAAAGTTTGAGAAAGGACCATGGTCATTAACCGGGCTACCCATTTCTGCAGATAGCCTGTTACAAATTGTGGAGAAAATTTAAATCAAAAGTTACAATTTTTGTCCGTTTTTGTCCGTTTTTGTCCGTTTGGCGGCTATATTTTCAAAACGGACAAAAATTAACGGACAAAAACGGACAAAAAATAACATGATCCCCCCCCCCTATAAACAAGTTGTTAATCGAAAAATATTTCAAATACGAAATTTAGGTTGTTTGGAGGCAGCAACCCTTGCATTGGTGTATTGATACGTAATAGTGGCTCTGATCTTAATAGTACGAATCATCTTCTGATCCTCAATATAAGCACATTTTACATTTTACAGCTTTACAGATTACTAAATTTCTAACATTATTAGATTTTCTGTTGTTTCTGCTGTTACTCTGTTATGTTGTTATTTACCGAATATATTAATTTTATCTGTTATCTACCGACCCTCAATCCTATTCTGTACAAGTAACAATATGTAAAATCAAATACTTCATAATAATATGTGGATTTTTATCTTGAGAAATTGTGTTCTTTTTCATTGACACTCATCGAATTAAAAAGTTATTTTTGTAGTTAATCTGGACCGGGAATTCTCATCCTAAACTGTGAAATTGTTATTGCCTATGGAATTCAGATTGTATTTTTTGACAGCGTCCCCAATCATTTAAGTATTATTGGAGCACTTTTGGTCACTTTACTATATAAGTGCTGTTTCGGTTACTATAAACAAGTTGTTAATCGAAAAATATTTTAAGTACGAAATTTAGATTGTTTGGAGGCAGCAACCCTTGCATTGGTGTATTGATACGTAATAGTGGCTCTGATCTTAGTCTGTATGAATCATCTACTGATCCTCAACTCTATGGAAGATCTGCTGTCATTCTATTTCGAGGGTTTTATTTTGTTTGTTATTCCTCGAGCATGTTTTGGTGGATTGGCTGTTGTGTTAAAGTTTTGGGCCGCTAAAAGGATGAAATATGGTGATAGTGTTGCCTTGGCATCATTGGTACCTATTTTTGCTGCTATTTTTTCAAAGAATCTTTGGAAAGAAAAATTGAGTATTTTTACGATATTGTCATTGCTAGTTGGATTGTCCGGGATTGCTTTTATAGCTAAACCTACTTTTTCTATTTGGAGCTCCCAGTGAAGAAGGTAAAAAAGAGTACAGTCCGTTTTTTTCGTTGGTTTCTTTATTTGCGGGAATTTTGCTAGGATTTTCTTTCAGCCTTATGCGAAAGGTGGGAACTGAAGTTAGCCCAATTTTTGTAACACTTGTTGTTAGTTCGGCAGTTGTTGTGGAAGGAATTATCTTCCAGTTTATAAGTGGTGACAAATTTGTACTTCCTGAATGTTTTATGGATAGGCTGATTATGTTCTTGGGAGGATTGGGTATATATCTCTGCCTCATTCTTTTCAATCGAGGACTGACTCTGGAAAAATCTGGACCAGGGGTTCTTATAAGAAATTGTGATATTGTTATTGCCTATGTAATTCAGGTTGTGTTCTTTAACAGCATTCGCGATGTGATGAGTGTTTGTGGAGCAATTTTAGTAATATCTTAATCTAGCGCTGTTATAGTCACTGCGAATAAGCTGTTCTTCGAGAAATGCTGTAAATACGATTTTTAGGGTTGTAATTATATGAGTATATGTTACATTATACAAAATAGTTTTTATTTTTGTCTGAAATTTTAAATTTTGAGTTTTAAAAAGCAATTATTATTATTATAAAACTTTATTCAAATAAATAAATTGTATAAACAAATTAAAAATCTGATAAGTAACCTACTAAAACTAAAACTGCACAAAGTTTATTCTAACACTGCACCTCCAAATATTATAAGAATGTTCACTGTTTCAAACTTAAACGCACCTAGAAGAGAACCTGAGTTCTTTGCAGTACCATTTAACCGTTTATGTAATTCAGACAAGAGCATTTCTTACATTGGGCCTAAGTTATATAACAAAACAGTCAACATTATTAACAAGGACATAAAATACGTCACGACTTGCCTACAAGACAAATTCCTAAATTCATTCAAGTCTACAGTCAGCAAGCATGTGCTTACTGCACAAGCACTTAACCCGGATGACAAGGACTGGAACAACTCAAATTTCGTACTTTTAGAAATTTAAATAATTTGGTACAACATACGTTGATCATAATAACGAGCAACAAAACTTTAACCTCATAACGAAATATGACCATCCTCGAGCATTTTTACAATGCTATAGCTACCGTGCAATTTCACTGTCATTTACAACTCTTAAAAGATAAAAATATCACTGCGCATTCTTCAGACCCTGTGTCGCTGTTCTAAATTTATGTCAAGAGATAAGAGTTATTTAAAATTCTTAATAGTACTACTTAAATTTGCTAATAGCGTAATCATATTTTATACATTATTCATATTTTATACATTGTGTGCATATATTTATATTTGATTGTAATTAAAGATTTTAAGGCGTTAGTGCCGAGTAATGCCTTCGGGTAGTGCTCCTCAATCAAAAAAAATCAAAATAACTTTCTCCACTTAGGTCTGTCTTGGGCTAAAAAAATCAAATTATAAATGTCTTGTATTTACAAGTTTAATGTCTCTAGATCTGATAAATCATTTTTAAGAGTTTTTAATAAATTACATTGGTGTCTCCCGACACGACCCTTCATATCCCTCATACTCTCAACTGCAAAAAATAAAGAACATAACGCTGGGGAGTTGCTGGCACTACGAAGTATTATATGACCAAACATTTTCCAACGTGAGTACGCTACGCAACTCTCTCACTGAGTGGTCTGCTGTTACATTTCTTATACAGAGCTTCGTTAGAAATGATGGTGGGGTATGTCATTTTGACGATTTGCCTCAGGTGTTTGCGATGACAAATGTCGATTTTGTCCATATAGTTTTTGGGTACAGCCCAGGAATTACAGTTGTACAACATAACAGAAACAACAAGGGACTCATAGATCTTCAGCCGAGTACTGAGACAGATTCGCTGACCTTGTTCCCATACTTTCTTGTAGTCCTGAAAAGCAACATTTCCTAGGGTGCACCTTCTCTGAATGTCTTCTTTGTCGCAGAGTTTGGAGCCTAGTGATATTGAAGATCTCCAAGGTTCTCTGTTTTCGAGGAGTTCACCTTTCTCGTCACGTTCGTTTTTACCAGCAATGTAGAACTGTGTGAACTCAGTTTTTGATTCGTTCACTAGTAAGTTCCATTCTTTTAGAACATCCTTACATATTGGCAAAAGTGCTTGAAGGTTCTCTTCTTCCTTAATCAACAAAATCTACATCATCAGCATACTCTCATTCAAGTGGTAGCAGCTGGTCTGATATCGGAGGGTTTAGTCTGATGTGCATGGTAACTGCCCGAAGATGATACAGGGCATCAGCAAGGTACACAGTGAACAAGTTACCGGATAGACTGTCTCCCTTGAAAGCTCCTATTAATACAATAATTTCGTCCGAGACCGTCTTCTCTATCTTGATATTGAGCTTTGTATTCGATAGCTGTAGGACGTAGGTAACGAACAAGTTTTAGGTCGTCTTCACTACATCCAGCCTCTCGCAGTATATCAAGTAGGACTGATCTCTTAATGGTATCGAAGGCTGATGTCATATCAATACCCATTTTGTACAAAGACCAGTGTTTCTCCTTGACGACTGATAACAACATTCTCTGGGTCCAAACTATGTTGGCAGTGCTATGGCCAGGCTTATATGCATTCTGCCAAGGGCCTGTGTAATGCGCTATCTGACCTTGTATGCGCCGCAGGACAATCATTGGAAGTATTTTCTTCGTGCCATTAAGCAAGCATAA